TGCTGTGTTTATCAGTCTTATTGACACTCTTACACCAACAGTGTCTGGATTGTGATCAATCAAATGCATATATAATTTTTAAAAACAATTTTAATATGTCTATGGTAAAATTATATAATTTGTACTTACAGTATGCCAGGTTGTGTTCTAAGAACTGTATAGATATTAATTCATTTTCAAAATCACCTCTAAAACAGGTACTATTGTCGACCCTGTATAGATGAGAAAGCTGAGGCATAGAGTAGTTTAGTAACTTGTTCAACGTTATATAGTTTTGTATTTTCCAGTGTTGTTTTTTGTTGTTGTTGTTGTTCATCCTCACCTAAGGACATTTTCCCATTGATTTTTAGAGAGAGTGGAAGGGAGTGGGGAGAGAGAGGGAACGAGGAACATCGATGTGAGAGAGACACATGGATTAGTTGCCTCCCGCAACTGAGGTACATGCCCCTGTCTGGCCTCAAACCCAGAACCCTTCTATCCAAGGGCCGATGCTCTATCCACTGAGCCAAACCACCTAAGGGCTGTATCTTCCAGTTTTTAAACGTTTCCAAAGATTCTGGCTCTGGAGCCCGTATGACAAACAGTGTCAAACTATAATTTTCAAAAAATTCAAGCATGATTCTTATACAGATTCGCGAGTTCGTATGTGGTCAGGGGTGGTGTGTGTCACCAGGGAGGCAGTGAGCAGGAAGACAATGTTAGATCCTGACGGGACACAGGGGAATGGAATGTGTGTTCAGTCACCGGGAGAAGGAATGCTGGGAACCTGAAAAATCAGACAGAACTGGTTCACGTCCTGTTAGGCAACACAGTGGGACCTTTCAGGGTCATCTTTTCTACTGGAAAGAACGCATTTGCGTCTGTACTGGACGAAACCTTTATTCACCTGTCTGTCTTCTACAAATGCCTCTAATTTTCACATCCTCTGGGCTTAATGAAAAGTAAATATGAAGAGAAATTTCCCTCAGCTAACGCGGTGCCAGCTGTTCACCTCCAAGGGCCACTGAGCTCTTGTAACATGTCTACTCCGAGTCGAAATGGTCACGACTGTGAAATAGTGAAGCATAGTCACCTCCATCTGGTATAAAAACTGCTGTTTGAAGTTCTCTGCTATTGTGAGATAGCCCCTTGTTCTGTGAACTCTGTCATTTTTAGACAGTCTCTTATTCTGTAGAATAACTGTTTTAGTTTGAATAATAGAAAAAGATAAAAACGTTAACTGTCTGACCTTGCGAGCTAGCCATCTAACGTAATGGACTGATACTGTTAATACTTCCCATGTTCTTATGCCAAGGGTTTGTTCTTTATGTGTCCAAGATTACAAACTGTCTGTAACAATAACTCACACAGAGCCCTTTGTAAAACCTGCAAAGAAGCTCAAAAGGCATAAGTACAGTGGAGCCTTGACTTACGAGTTTAGTTCATTCCGAGACCGAGCTCGTTAAGGAGCTCGTTAACTCAAATTACTCTATCAACTTAGTGCAAAAAATCTGCCGAGAGACAGCTGGTATCTCAAAAAACTCGTTAGGCGGGACACTCGTAAGTCAAGGCCCCACTGTACCGGAAACTTCCTGTGTGAGCTCGCTCAGAGATTTGGAAGAAACTTCACCCTCTGGGCCACGTGCAACAAATGACCCCTAATTAATTGGCTCATTAAGGCGTCTTGTATCTCATTCGCTGATTTACGATACAAGCATAGACACAAGACTTTGAAGACTTATTATTGGGAAAAAAAGGACCATAAACTCTGATTTTTTTAAAAGATATTGGTTGCATGTTGAGCTGATAATAGTTTAGATATATATATTAAGTTAAAGATGTATCATTACAATTGTTTTCACCTGTTTCTTCTCACTTTTTTTCTGTAGGATACTAGAAAACTTAAAATGATCTATTTATTAGCATTGCCCAGCATCGGATGACCCAAATGTGAACTTAGACACTTTCCCAATACAGTTTGAAAGGACAGAAAAAATACCTTTGCTGCGTGTTTAAGTTTTGGGTAACGTTTCCCACACAAGTCGCAGGCATCTGGAGGTTCCTTGCTTCTCTGCCTTCTGCCCGCCACCATGCGGCCAGGAGGGTGGGAGCAGGACTCTGGGTGGCTTCTCTCCTGATAATTCCATCTGAAGTCTGGACTTGCACACACAGAGGAGCTTCAAGCTGAGGGGTCATCTTAGAGGACAGAATCCCAGGAATCACATTTCCATGTGGCTGATTTATACCAGGATACTGATTTATAGGGAAGGGGGTCCAGTGACTTGCGAATCAAGACTCCATACAGGGGTTTTCTTTTTTCTTTTAAATGTTTATTATTTATTTCAGAGAGGAATGGAGAAGGAGAGAGCGAGAGTGAGAGAGAAACATCAATGAGGAGAGAGAATCATGGATCGGCTGCCTCCTGCACACCCCACACTGGGGATCAAGCCAGCAGCCCGGGCCTGTGCCCTGACCGGGAATCTCCTGGTTCATAGGTTGAGGCTCAACCACTGAGCCATGCTGCTCGGGCCACACGGCTCTTTCTTGATGGTTGGGCACCCTCAGCCTTGTTTCCGGTGGGAAGGGGTTCTTTGCCCATAGAATCCGAGCAGAGGGGCGTGTTCTTATTTTATCTTCTAAGCAAAATATAGGAAGATGATGAAGGTGCTTTAGTTGTTTGTAGAGTTTCAAGAATCTGTTATGATTCTTAGACCCAAAGTCACAGGGACGGCTGGCAGGTCAAAAGTGTTTTTGCTACGGCTGCTAACTCGTCCGTTACTAATCGCATTAGGCCGTTAATTCCCAGGACGTGAGCAGGAGTAGACAGTCTTCAAATGTTGAACGAATGGTATTCAATGAAACCTCGGGGTCACCCTTAGCCTAAACCAAGATGCCTCGTTTCTCCTTCAGCCCTGCACGTATCTGCTTAAGCCCTTTTGTCACCTCACACGATGGGTTCACCGCTTGGCGTGTCTGCGCCAAAAGGCACACAGCTCTTGTTGGGAGAAAACGTTTTTAGTTCTGACTGTGACAAGGGAGGTATCGGAATACTCTTCAGAGCTCTGTCTCACAGAAGGAAGGTTTAGCAATGGCTTCTCCACACCATTTGGTTCAGCACCTGCTGATCTCTTCTTTGCAGTTGGCAAAACTTCACCACATTTGGCTAGCTACACTGGACTTTTTAAAAATATATATTTTATTGATTTTTTTACAGAGAGGAAGGGAGAGGGATAGAGAGTTAGAAACATCGATGAGAGAGAAACATCGATCAGCTGCCTCCTGCACATCTCCTACTGGGGATGTGCCCGCAGCCAAGGTACATGCCCTTGACCGGAATCGAACCTGGGACCCTTCAGTCCGCAGGCCGACGCTCTATCCACTGAGCCAAACCAGTTAGGGCTACACTGGACTTCTCTGCGGTGGGCTCAGCGTGGTCAAGTTCATCAGGTTGCCCCTGTGTCTGCAAAGGCCCGTGCTACATTCTCCCATGGAGAGAAAAGGGCACTTGGTAAGAACCGCTGGACCTGGAGACACTCACACCTCTGATGACCACAGTCTCCATCTGGCACCTCTAATACACATTGGCGGGTAGACATATGTATGAATAGGAATTTCTGGGGAGTTGTCATACTTCCTTTGTCCCTAAACACAAAATACATTCCCATTAAGTATGTGAGCAGAACGTTTACCCAGCCTTTTCTTTCATGACTACATCGCAATGGCTTTGAACCCAAGGGCACCCATAAGAAGTAACAAACCTTACAGTGGTAAAGCAAATCTTGCTCAGGCCAACTATAGGAGGGATGGGAAGAGGTGAATTCATAAAATAAAATAAAAAGGCATCATAATCTACATGTTCCAGTGCTTTCCCTCTTTTTCTTTTCTAAATGTTGCCATTCTTCTTTTTTTTAATGTTTCGAATCTATAGTTCACCTTATAAGTCAAAGTGTCTCTTATTAAAAGACAGTCACTTTATCTCCACCTACAGGTGTAAGCTCCCACTAAGAGGGCGTTCTATATATACCCTGACCTGTTAGGTACTGTAACTGGAAGAAACCCAAAGGTTTCATGGGCAAAATTCGCCTCTCTACTGCTGCATACCAAATCAAATTCATCAATAACTAAGGGCTTGTTTGGAAACAGACCCTTTCAATGCCCCTTCCCACCCCCCGCGGAGTCTTCTGGGGGGGCGCTGGGCAGGCTGAGTGGGTCTTCCTGCCTCGGTTATTGTCCCTCTTCTGAGGGCCCGACCCCCTGCCGTGTCCAACGCAGAGGGGAACCCGAGAGCTTTTTAAAAACAGCCCAATGTCTCCACTTTGGAAAGTGAAAAGGGTGCCCCGCCCCCATCGACGGAAAGAGGGATTTGCTAAAGGGTTTTTTCAATGTCTTCACATCAAAGATGTGAGTCTCCAACCCGCCACCACCCAAGGCCCCTCGGGAACTTAGGGACCCCCTCGGATCGCTCCCTAACTGCTCTGGGCTGGTCCAGAACCGGGTCCCAGTCCCCAGTCCCTGTGCGTCTGCACGCAGAATTCACCCAGGACCTGTGTTACTTCCCTTGCGAAGAAACCGAATTACTGTGGAATTTTAAGTGACAACGACCTCGTGTTGGTCCCCATAGGAAGGTGAACATGTGCCCTACCCACCCTGAGAAAAAGAACTTTCCAGGGCCAAGGAGCGAACAGGTAATTTAGAAGAAAAACAGAAAGTGGTCTCCGATGGTCCTGGACTTGCCTGGGAGTTGGGGGAGTTGGGGGCCCCTGGACGCGGCGTCTTTGCAGTTACAGGAAAAATAAATGCCGGGCAGGAAGCCTGAGGCTTCTGGGATTCTTTTCCGACCGGCCCCGGGGCGTTGGGTGCGGGGGATTTTAATATTTTCCCCCTTTTGTGAAGTGTAACAAACACAACTTGGGCGCGCGGCGGCGGCGCGGAGCCTGCCAGCCGAGGGCGGCGGGAGCACCAATCAGCGCGCGCCTGCGCTCTATATATTCGGCGGCGGCCGGCGCTGCGCCATCGGCGCTTCGCCACTTTCGCCAACTCTTCCTAGACCTTCGCCATCGCCATCGCCATGTCGGAGACCGCTCCCGCCGCGCCCGCTGCCGCGCCCCCCGCGGAGAAGACCCCCGTGAAGAAGAAGGCGGCCAAGAAGCCCTCCGGGGTGCGCCGCAAGGCGTCCGGGCCGCCGGTGTCCGAGCTCATCACCAAGGCGGTCGCCGCCTCCAAGGAGCGCAGCGGCGTGTCGCTGGCCGCGCTCAAGAAGGCGCTGGCGGCCGCGGGCTACGACGTGGACAAGAACAACAGCCGCATCAAGCTGGGCCTCAAGAGCCTGGTGAGCAAGGGCACCCTGCTGCAGACCAAGGGCACCGGCGCCTCGGGCTCCTTCAAGATCAGCAAGAAGGCGGCCTCCGGGGAGGCTAAGCCCAAGGCCAAGAAGGCGGGCGCGGCCAAGCCCAGGAAGCCCGCGGGCGCGGCCAAGAAGCCCAAGAAGCCCGCGGGCTCCGCCACCCCCAAGAAGAGCGCCAAGAAGACCCCGAAGAAGCCCAAGAAGCCGGCGGCGGCGGCGGGAGCCAAGAAAGCGGCCAAGAGCCCCAAGAAGGTGAAGGCCGCCAAGCCCAAGAAGCCGGCCAAGAGCCCGGCCAAGGCTGTGAAGTCCAAGGCCGCCAAGCCCAAGGTTGCCAAGACCAAGAAGGCTGCCCCCAAGAAGAAGTAGGTTCACAACCGCTTCTACAACCCCAACGGCTCTTTTCAGAGCCACCACTGATCTCGAAAGAGAGACGAGCACTCCTCACCCGCCATTTACCCGGCTCTCCCCTCCCCGCCCGCCCCTTTAACCTTTCATTCTAACGCAGTGTCGCTGGAGCAGCACCGGAGGGGCCTGCGGACACCGGGAGGAGGGGGCAGTGTGGGCCTCGGAAGGGCGGTCGCTGGAGGTGACAGGCAGACCATCCGCATTGGGAACGGGCTGCTGTGGGGGGACAGACAGTTCCTGGTCCGATCAGCGGAACCGCCCTGGGCAGCCCTGGCTCCACGGGCCGGTGGACAGGAACGCGATACCAGCCGGTTCCCGAGCCGCGGGGATGGCACCATTAGGCCCGGGGAGCTTTCAAAAGTCCCGCCCGCTCGCGGGTTGGCGCACGCCCGTCGTTCTCGTGCTGGATGCCATTGGACAGTGGCAGCTGCTGTGGCACGTTTGCTTTTTTTTTTTTTTTTTTTTACTTGTTCTGGCGTTTTTGTTGTTGGGTTGAGTTTGCCCTTCTCGCTGGGTGTGGCAATGCTTCTGGCATGTTTTGGAAAGTCAGGCTGCTGTGTCCTGGAGCGTTTTTTGGCCTCCAGCCCTGGGAGGAGGCGGCGGGGGCGCCTTCTCGCTCATTCTTTTCATTCCCGTTTTTCTGGCGACGAGAAAGCGCCCTTGAGGAATGGCTGCCGCCCAGGTCTCGGCAGCTGCGGGGTCTTTCTGTCCCTCGGACCCTGTAACCTTGAACTTGGGTGTGACCGGTCGGAGCGCATCAAAAACAACCTTTGTTCGCCATGTTGTCCTGACGGGCGGCGCCCCATCCTCCGATAGACAAACATGTAAACCCCGAAGATGCTTTAAACGCAGAGAGAGAGAGAGAGACCCAAATGTCTCCATGCAGGAGGGAAAAGCGTCGGTGAGCCTTGGATCTGAGTCTGTGAGGGTGATGTCAGTAAGGGCGTTAGTTTTCATCGACAGTGTCATCCGTGGGTTGTGTTACACTCGGGGCGTTTCTGCTGGATGCAGCCCAGCGGGCAGTTTCAATTCTGCACAGATCTTTCTGAGACAACTTCCAGGGAGAGGGGCCTCGGGGCCTGCCGCGCAGTTCTATCTGGATCTGTTGCCCCAGCTCCTGGGAGGTAATTCCCGCATTAGGGGGCGGGGGGGGGGGGGTGACTCGAATTCGTGCGCCCCGCCCCGCCCTCTCTCCTGGGCAGAGAGAGCTTAATCTTCGTCGTCTGTGTAATCACTTTGAACAGAAAGACTCACTCACGACTACAACACACACGAAGAAAGATGGTTGTCTCATGTTTTTCCCCATTTTTCTGTTGTTAATTTTACACTTAAAATTGTGAGCCCTCTGCATGTTCGTGTACAAGTATGGATACGAATATATGGATCATTTTTGATATGCGAATGCATGGATATTTTTATAGGACTTACATTATGGATATATGAATGTACATGGGTATTTTCCTCAAGACCATTTACTAACTGCCTTTTCTGCCTCTCCTGCCCTCCCCAGTCCACCCCCACTTGAGATAGGACCTTATCACAGGTAAATTCCGTGCAGAGGTGAACCAATTCTTGGTTTTCTATTTTGTCCCTTTGATCTTTCCAGCCATTCCAAAGGCCAGATCACATTGGTTTCAGTACTGTTCACAGCTCTGCAATGCTGAGAATATATGAACCATAGTAAATATGCAAATAATTGGATGTCAAATAAATAGATGTTATAATATGACCTGAATAGCTGATAGAGCTGATTTCCTCTCATTATCCTTTCCGGAATTCTCTGGTAATTCTGTTTTTTGTTTATTTATTTTGCTTTTACTTTGGGAAGCTCCCCCTTCCCACCCACGCAGAAACCTTCAACACCCTATTGATAGTCTTCTTGGGATTTTGTTTTTATTTGGGGGGGAATTTTGTTTTTATAAATTAAACTGAGGAGATGTTTCATATTCAAGAACTGTTTATGTTTTCCCATTCAAATTTTGTACTTTTCTCCAAATACCTATTCCTATTTTTATTACCTCTATTCACAGTTATTTTGTTTTCTCTGTTCCTGCTGGCAATGGCAATCTAATATTCTAGATTTCTTGAGGGCCAGTATTCCATCAACTGTACATAGAAGATACCCAGTGACTGAAGGAATCTGTGCCTGAGCCAAGTTATCTCCACAGCAGTGCTAGCTGTTCATAGCCACGTAAATAAGGAGCAAAGACACAGGTGAAATCATTCTAAGAAGATAGTTTATTTAACCCAATATGTCCAGAACATCACCAGATCATCCTGTGAGGTTACTTAACATGGAACCCCCTTTTCATGCACAGGTGACTTATTTTTCCACTATAAATTGATGTTCGGTATCTAGTTTTGTCTTTGTAATCTAGTGAAGGTTTTAAAGAGTCACCAAGTTGCATACACTGCAGGCCTCAGAAAATTTTGATCTATTCCCTATTATCTTGTTTTATATTTGGAAAGTTTAAAAAAGGAACACATCAATGCTTCTGTATTTATTAAAAGGGGGCCTGGGTGAAGGGAGAGACAAGTTCTACAGTGGCTACCTTTTGTGGATGAAAAAGGAGTGCTGTAATGCGTTCCTAGCTGGGCAGGTCATAGTGGGCAGTCTCGCCCCAGGCACAGAACATTTGTTAAAAGGTTTATCTATGCCTTTGAAACCCAGCAAAGAGCTCGCCTACCTGGTGGTGCTGACAGTAACCAGTTATGCGGACACCAAGGTGCAGAAAAGAACCAGGCACTCCGTAGGTGTTAAATAATTTAAATTATATAAAACCCCAACTCCCCAACAGTGTACCGACAAGGGTTTTACAGAACGAAAGTCCTCATGAGTAAGGGGTTTGGGGCCATGGGTCCTGCTGGTTGGTTGGTCAGGTTTCATGAGGGTGTGGCCAGGGAGAGCTATGCAGCTCCAGGGCTCAGGGACTGAATTTAGGCCTCGACCTTATCTTTGCTGTAGGCATGGAGACAGACAGGAGCTGGGCAAGGACAATGGGCCAGGTACAGAAGGTCAACAGGGTGGAAGCCCCAGGTGCCTAGCAACCAGCAATCAGTGGTAGGGTGGGCCCTCCCCCCAGGGAGACTTCCCCTCCCCCCTTCACTTTTCTCCCTGAAGATAACATCTGGGCCTGTTGTATTTCAGCTCCAGGCCCAGATAAGCAGCAAAACCAGCCATGGCTGACCTTAGGACCAGCTGCGTTGAATAATGTCCCCCTGCTCTGGTGCCTGCCCATCCATCACTGCAGACCACAACCCTGGGAAGCTGCTGCATATTCTATCGAGATGTGTCCCTGGGACCTCCCCTAAAATCCCAGCCTTCAAAGCCCTTGGGATGGAGGACCCCGTGCGCCCTGTCCAGAGCACACCCTTTCCCTGATGGCAGGAGTAATGGTGTTCGGGAGCCTCTAAAGGACATTCATAAACCCTGTAGTCTGACTGAATTCAACTGAACAGGACCCAAGGAGATAGTCAACACTGCTTCTGACAATTAAAACAAGGTTCAATTATTTGAGAATTCCATGAAAAAGTGAGATCCTATAAAAAGCTACCATTAGCTTCTATCTATGCGGTGAAACTTTAGTATCTAAATGTCATAAGGAATCCAGAGAAAAACAACTACCACATGCTCTCACATGCGGAACCTAAGGAACAAAACTGACAGGATAAGAAGAGGCATGAACACAGGGAACAGTCTGACAGCTGTGGGAGGGGAGGCCTGGGGGTGGTGGTGGATGAGGCAAGGTGAAGGGATTCGGGAAAGTACTTAGATGCACAAGCCGTGGAAAGAGGAGAGTTTCATGATGCAGAGGGATGGGAGATCCGTCAGGAAGGCGGTAGAGGGAATACACGCAGGTACTCAGTACTTACAATTGATCCAGTGCAACCTGAAGGGACTTCACCTTAATATAGAAATCGCTAATAAATACTACTAAGTCCAACATTGACTATCCTTGTCCTTACCTCCTTATAATTTCCCCAGTAATTTCTAGTTTGGGTCCCAGCACTTCGGATGTGTAGTTACAGCTTTTTACGTGAAATTGTGGGTGGCTCTGAAAAGAGCCTTTGGGTTTTGGTGCAAGTGGGTGGGACGGAGCTCACGCCCTCTCGCCGCGGATGCGGCGCGCGAGCTGGATGTCCTTGGGCATGATGGTGACGCGCTTGGCGTGGATGGCGCACAGGTTGGTGTCCTCGAACAGCCCCACCAGGTAGGCCTCGCACGCCTCCTGCAGCGCCATGACGGCCGAGCTCTGGAAGCGCAGGTCGGTCTTGAAGTCCTGCGCGATCTCGCGCACCAGGCGCTGGAAGGGCAGCTTGCGGATCAGCAGCTCCGTGGACTTCTGGTAGCGGCGGATCTCGCGCAGGGCCACGGTGCCGGGCCGGTAGCGGTGCGGCTTCTTCACGCCGCCCGTGGCCGGCGCGCTCTTGCGGGCGGCCTTGGTGGCCAGCTGCTTGCGGGGCGCCTTCCCGCCCGTGGACTTGCGCGCCGTCTGCTTGGTCCGAGCCATTTCCAACACAAACAAGCAGAGAACTGCTGCAGGAATGGCAGCGCGGGCTCGCAACCAGTATATATAAGGCGAGGCCCGCTCTCATTGGATACGGCATCTGTCCATCAAGACCCGCAGGGAAGTGATTGGAAGCCCCATCCACTTCCGGGCCGCAGGCCTCCCGCGCGTTTGGACCGGAAATTAACTTCTTTCTCCCTCCCACCCTTTCACCTGCGGCTGTTTCCTACTCTTTCTCGCTTCTACCGTCTTTACCTCTTTTCTCTACAATGTTCTTTGGCTTTTCTCCGCAGAACTTAATGTAAATAATTACCATTATATGTCTTGTTTCCTGAATAAAAATTTTAAATTTTGGCCCCGGAAACGGGCTATCGTCTGATCTTTTTGAAAAAGCGCGCGCTACACGGGATTGGCCAAGTGATTTTTTAATCTTATTCAAGTTTAGTAAAGCCAATTTCCCGTCCGTTTCTTCATTTCTCTACTTACGTGTAGAGGCTTTAAAATGTTTCTTAGGCCTTTTCTAAATGCCTACTTAGCTCGATTTCACATTTGGTGTTACAGCTACAGTAACATTTACTTTTCACTAACATTCTCATACGTTTCACAATTTCAACTGAGAGTTGTGGAAAGTGTGGTTAAAGAAACCCTCAAGCGTGTACTTAGTACAAAAAGATGACTGAGCCTTCTTAGAGCCATGCTGTGCCCCGTGATGAGCAGCTCCGCCTAAGGAACCTGACTCGGAGGCCAGCAGTGTTGCTGTTACTTACAATCCACTAGGGCCCCGGTAGATGGGAAAATTGGTGATAATGTGTCTGCCCTATTGAGATGCAAAACAACTCAAGAGTCATTGCCCGATGGGTCACTAACTATATTTGCAGTTAAATAGTCACCTTTCACCAAGCCTTGTTGCCCTCCTGTTTTCTCCCGGTTTAACCCCCAGGGCTTGCAGCACTCATCACCTTAATTACCTGTGATGGTCAAGTGTCCGGGCACCCATTTTCCTTTGCTGATGCTAAATTGTTTTTATTGGAGTTAATGTTCACACACTGCCATCTACTGGTTGACTGAGGAATTAGTCGCTGTTAAAAACGTACATTTTAGAGCAAGCTCTTTAGTGAAAGCGTGGGTGGCTCTGAAAAGAGCCTTTGGTTTTGGATGTTGCGATTTGTTCCTTTATTTGCCCTTGGCCTTGTGGTGGCTCTCGGTCTTCTTGGGCAGCAGCACGGCCTGGATGTTGGGCAGCACGCCGCCCTGCGCGATGGTCACCTTGCCCAGCAGCTTGTTGAGCTCCTCGTCGTTGCGGATGGCCAGCTGCAGGTGGCGCGGGATGATGCGCGTCTTCTTGTTGTCGCGCGCCGCGTTGCCCGCCAGCTCCAGGATCTCGGCCGTCAGGTACTCCAGCACCGCCGCCAGGTACACGGGCGCGCCCGCCCCGACGCGCTCGGCGTAGTTGCCCTTGCGGAGCAGCCGGTGCACGCGGCCCACGGGGAACTGCAGCCCGGCCCGCGAGGACCGCGTCTTGGCCTTGGCGCGCGCCTTGCCGCCCTGCTTGCCGCGTCCAGACATATTAGCAAACTTCTAACGTGCAGAGAAAACCGCTGCAAAAAAGCGATGTGAGAATATGAAGAAACCCTTTTATAGCTACAGCTTGGATAGAGCGATAAGACATCTGATTGGTTAAAATATGTTCTGACCAATAGAAAAGAGAATTGTGTATTTCTTATTTGCATAGACCACGCCCCTCGGTGACATGTAGTGTCTAACCAATCAGAAGTTAGGATTCTTAATTCCTCATTTAAATCGAGAAACATATATATACTGAATGAGCTCTCCACCCTTCATCCTTCGTCTCCGTTGTAGAAACTGCGACCAGGAATTCTACAGCCTTTGCGGACGTCATGCCGGAACCTTCCAAATCGGCGCCCGCCCCAAAGAAGGGCTCCAAGAAAGCCATCACCAAGGCTCAGAAGAAAGATGGCAAGAAGCGCAAGCGCAGCCGCAAGGAGAGCTATTCTATCTACGTGTACAAGGTGCTCAAGCAGGTGCACCCCGACACCGGCATCTCGTCCAAGGCCATGGGCATCATGAACTCGTTCGTCAACGACATCTTCGAGCGCATCGCGGGCGAGGCGTCGCGCCTGGCGCATTACAACAAGCGCTCGACCATCACGTCCCGCGAGATCCAGACGGCCGTGCGCCTGCTGCTGCCCGGCGAGCTGGCCAAGCACGCCGTGTCCGAGGGCACCAAGGCCGTCACCAAGTACACCAGCTCCAAGTGAGGTGCTTCGGCCCCTGTCAAACCCAAAGGCTCTTTTCAGAGCCACCCACGTTCTCCAAGGAAAGCTGTAACTGCCGTTTCTGAGCCAGGTCACTGTTTCATGCTGTCGGTTCAGTTTGAGTCCTTAGTTGTGGCAAAGTCAGCCCAGGTTCCATCTCCACTTTAAGTGAACGTGGTGCTGTGCCCCATGGCTATCTAGTTCATGTTTTATCTCACCTTCAAGGTGCCCTAGGTGTTCATTGAAATGTATCTACAAAGGGTCACTTTACTTACCTCTGCAGGTTTCCGATGGGTTTGGAATTCTCCCGCTGAGTAGGAAAGCCGATCAAGGACTTTAGAGAGCAGGGCCCCCAGAGGAGTTCTGATCTGGGCTGATTGGGTGGGAGGAGGGTGTCTGGGCAGCCAAACGGGCAGGCAGGGGGGCGCTCTATTCCGGGAGTCTGCACTGGCCTCGTCTTGGGAGCTTTGGGGAAACATGGGCGACTTTGCGTGCGACTCCTGGGGCACTGGTTTCTGTGGGGTCCGCCTCGAGCCCTTTGCACACAGGTGACCTGAGATGGCTCTGATTTCTCATTAGAAATGTTTACCGGTGGCCACAGTCGGTCTGAAACGCCTGTGAATTTTTTTTTACGTCCTAGTAATCCGGGCTGCCACCTCCTGGGCCTTAGGCGGTTCAGGAATTCCCCTAGAAGGGTGGGGAGGGTGGGTTCCCGCTCTGATAAGGGACAAAGGATTTGAATTTCCCGCCCTTCCATCCATATGTGGCGCCACCTCCTGGCTGACAGCGATGGTGGGGGGAAGGGGGTGGACGGGAAGATGTGTGGCCTGCTCTTTGCAATACTTTTTCCAGAGACGCTGGGGCTCCAAATCCAATCCAAACAGACAGGAAAGGAAGGCCCTTGGCTGGGGAAGAGGGTCCGAGGGGTGATCTCCGTCCGGGGATGGGGGAGGGGAGGAAGAGCCGGTGAAGAATCGCTGTTCACTGCTTATTTCTAAGGTGTGTGTGGGGCGGGGAATTTTCCTTCGGTGTATGAGCACGATGAAGAAATACTGTAAAATTTAAAGTTGAATTTCTCAAAAAGGAACCCCTTTTAAAGGAAAATTAACTTTTTCCCCCCACACAGCCCAACATAACAGCCGACCAATGTATGAGAAATTCTTTCTTTCTTGGCAAATGCAAAATATAGTTTTGAAAAACATACTTGCCTTAAAAGTCAATAATTTTTGTTGTATAGATTATAAAAAGGCCCTCCCCAAATAAGCTTGTTAGTGAATTCAGGCTGTGGTTTAAGAATCATGAACCCTCCTGTTCTTCCCTTGAGGGGGAAGCGCTGGCTAGTGAGATGACTTATCC